AGCAGCCACAAGATGCATACGCGCAGCAGCAGTGGCAGCAGCCACAAGGTGGCTCCCAGCAGTGGCAGCAGCCACAAGGTGGCTCCCAGCAGTGGCAGCAGCCACAAGATGGCTCCCAGCAGTGGCAGCAGCCACAAAATGCGCACCAGCAGTGGCAGCAGGGACAGTGGCAGCAGTCGCATCAGTGGCAGCAGGGCCAGCAATCGCCACACTGGCAGCAGGGGCAGCAGTCGCAGCAGTGGCAGCAAGGCCAGCAGTCGCAACCGTGGCAGTAGGGCCAGCAGTCGCAACAGTGGCCACAAGACCAGCAGTCGCAGTTGCAACAATGGCCGCAAAACCAGGATGGCCAGCAGGCGCAGCATCCGAGGCAGTATTTTCAGTGGCCACTTGCCTGCAATTGGATGAATCTGAAGCAGCACCACTGCTTTCTCAAGATGTATGTTTGCAGAATCGCGCACGGCAACTGAGACAGTCGTTTTGGGCTGTTGCGAGACGCCGCTGCGGAGGATGCCTTCGCGCAGAGGGATAAGAGCCGAGTAGCCTCTTAGGTTAAATTCGCGAAGCCCGAAGGGCACTGCGCAGCAATGATTGCAGTCCGTGATAGAAAAATCCTGCTTTGCCAGTTCCAGTTTGGAAGATGATAGTGCTCAGTCATTCCACGGTAGTCACATTCCTGGCAGGTGGCTCCAGCGTTGCGAGGCCTTCAGCTGTCGCCCCGGAATATGCTTTGTGGGATTTTGCAACTAAGCAGGCGTGGTCCATTTTTCTAGATAGCCCCAAGGTTCTGGCTTTAGCAGGAACAGAGGAAGCACCCCAGGCACTGTGTTGTGGTGGTTCACTGAACCTGCAGCAAGTTCTTCTTGAAAATCATTGTGAAATTAGCACCCTAGTATAGCTATTAGTTGATAATCAAGTATAGTAGCAATAGGAGTATGTACGCAGCTTCCGTATCGAGAGATATAGTATAACAGCAGCATAAAGACTCATCATGCTTCATTGAAGAACAACTTGACACTATACACATTCCTTGACGAACTTCAGGTCGATTTGGACCGATGCAACCCGACATGCAGCGTTCTGAGCAACAGCTGTTCTGTACTCAGGGGACATCAGTTAGTTGGGATGGCGAAGAAACAGAATTGGATCAGGGAAGGAGTTTCTTGGCGTGGTGTTGCAGAGGTTACTCGATTGCCTGCAGCTTGCCTGAGGAGTAGAGCAGAGTGAATGCACCAGCATGACTTCAGCAGGGCGCGGCTTGTTGTGGGCGCATCAAAATTCAGGTCGATATGGCCTGAAGAGACATCACGCGCAGAGCCCTGGAGGAGTGCTGGAGCCCCACTCATGAGGTTACTTTTCACGCGGGACCTACAAGCTTGCATCATCAGCAATTACTACTCAGGAAGCTGGAATTCAGATTGCGAAAAAAAAGCCTTGACCAAGGGTGCAGGCAGGCTGTATGAGCGTGCTGCTGCTAAGGTTCGGCAGTAAGTTGGATGTACATCTTGAGCCTGGCGTTTGCTGTTCGAACTTCGGCCGGCCCCAGGAGCAGAAGCAATCGTCAGCTCTTACATCTGCGGGTGCTGCGCAGAGCCCAGCTGCTTAGTCTTAGATGTAAGTGCTGCAGCACTTGTCATTCAGCAGACTGGTCCGCTGGGTCTAGTTTCAAGGGAACCGCTGTCCCTACTGAGCTCACAGAAAGCCAGCTGAGGCAAACATGATTTCCTATACTCCATGATCTCTCCACTCCAGCTAAGCCCGACAGCAACCTAGAAGGTTTCTTGCCTCCTGGTTAACTGGTGACCGCGTCAACATTCCAATTAATGTTTGGGCCTAATAAAATGCTTAGTCCATTTGACCCATTTTTTATATAAAAAATGGGTCAAATGGATTGGGCTTGGGGGGAAGTCATTTGACTCTAGGTGTAGGTCATAAAGGTGGAGTCAATTGCAAACCCTGTGAGGGGATCCCATTTGACCCATTTTTTATATAAAAAATGGGTCAAATGAAATCCCCTCAGTGGGGTTCCATTTGACTTGACAGGGCTTGAGGTGCAGCGCGGTGCTGCGAATGCAAATCAGCTCGCCCCTGAAGCTACGCGACTTCTGAAGCCTCAGATTTAGGTCGGTCGCAAAGTTCACACACACAAGTCGTTCAGGCAGACAGGCAGAGGAGGCAGCTGTGCTAAACAACGAGGCTG